ACTAAAAAAATTAAAAAAAATGTTTAAAATTTTAAAAATATTCACTTAAAAAAAAAACACGAAAATCAAAAAATTCAGTTTTCAAAAAACTTAATCTAGAAAACTCAAACCAAACACAGTGAATCATTTTTATATAATTTAGAAATAATTTTTTACAAATTAAATTGAAACAACCATACATACGTATGTATATAACCTGTACAAAAGTTAAAATAATAATTATTTTTTAGATGGTAAAAATGTCAAAAAATTAACAAATAATTAAATAAGTTATCAACGTAAAAAATGACTTATCAAAAGATTTTTAGGCTATGTATGGTTGATTTTTTTAGAATTTTTTTTTTAAAATTAAAAAATTAATTTGGTTAAGAAATAAAAAAATAATTATCATTTAAGTGTAAAAAATAATTATCATTTTAACTTTTGGACATGTTATATACATACGTATGTATTGGTGCTTCAATTTAATTTGAAAAAAATATTTCTAAAATTATATAAAAATGATTTTTATTAACAAAAATTATATAATTGATTATTATTTGCTATTATAAATTATTATTATATATATTTAATATTAGTCTCAGTTTTATAAAATAAAATATATATATATTATAAATTAATATATTAAAAATTTATATTAAAATAATATTAGTCTCAATTTTATTAAAAATTATACATGAGAGAGAGAGAGAGTGTGTGTCGCCGCGCGCGCGCATGTGTGAGAATGACGGCACAGTGTTGTGTTGAAACGGTAATTCAAAACCGCTTTACATCTCAACAGTGAAAACGTGATTTGGAATCACGTTTCTTTATAAAAAAAAAATTAAACATATGCACAGTGAAAGCGTGGTTTGAAATCATATTTTCATCAAAAAATAAACTTATGTTAAAAGCGTGGTTTGTAACCACGCTTTCTTAATTAAAAGCGTGATTTGTAATAGCGCTTTCACTATTCATCACATTTTCAGCACCAAACAATGAAAGTGTGATTTGTAATAGCGCTTTAGCCTAGTTTGGAAAATCCGTCCAAACTAGGCCTAGTTTGGGAATTAAGATAGTAAATTGACTTAATATGGGAAAAGCCCCTCACATTACCTCTCTATCTTTTTACACGTCTTTTCATAATAAGTAAAAAATCGACTTATAAGTTATATCCAAAACAAATCAACTTTAAATTTGAAAAGTTTCTTTCACCAAAACAAATGTAACGAATATAATTAATCGTATTCTAGACACAATACATACATTTGGGAAATGACTATTCATTAAATTCAAATAACTCATCATATTTTTTTTTTTTTGGGATAAAACAATCATCTATTAGCTTTAAATAACTCACCACATCAACCATTTATTAATTTTGAATCTTCACCGAACTTTGTCAAGACTTTTTAATTAATACAGGTGGATTTTTTTATGGGCCAATATAATAACTAAAAATATTTTGGGGGCTTTTTTTTTCAATCAATTTTTGGAGGTCCAAAAGTAACAGTTTTGCCGGCTTTGGGCCAAAGCTAGTTTGTCACACCTCTAACCATACCACCACGAAACCAACAAATATGACCAAGGTTCGCTCTAATACCAATTGTAACGATCTGTCCTCACCAACTATGTGATAGTGTCCGCTTTGACTGAGTATACCTTAACAATTTTATCTTTATGATCTCCCACAAAAACCCTCACTATTCCATTGATGGTGTACTATATTATATCAATCTGATGTAACACTGGGATGTCACATTTTCTTTATGAAATATATATGTTGTTCAATCATTCTAATCTATAGCACAAAGCTTTGTCTGAAACTTTCTCCCAACGCGACCAAGAAAGAATTCTTAGTTATGAAGCAAGAGAAAAAAAAAAAAAACACACCAGCCACTTCCAAATTGAAGCAACTAGGAATCTGCCACATTTTCTTTATGAAATATTTGTTGTTCAGTCATTCTCAATCTATAGTGTGAAGCTTCGTCTGAAAGTTCCTCCCAACATGACAAGAAAGCATTCTTAGCATGAAACAAGTGAAAAAATCACTAGTTACATTCAAAGTGAAGCAAGTAGGAATTTGCTAAACAATTACTTCGCTTTATCCATTCAATTCTCATTATTTGTAAACTAATCTTGCTTTGATTTACATTTTGATTGTTTTGAAGAAAAAAAAAAAAGATTTTTTTAGGTCAAATTGTCTTTCACAAAAATGTATTTCCATGCTTGTAGTGACTTGAATCTGGTATGCTATTAATTGCCATAGAAGTGGTGTTGGGTGGTGTTGGTGGTGGTGGGACAACGCCTGTAGCGATGGTGGCAATAATAAAATTTTTGACTTTCAAGCATATAAAATAAAATAAGTTTTCTATTTAAATATATTTATTTTTAGTTGATTAAAAAGATATTTTAGAATACTTTTATGAAAAACGTCCTTTCAAGAAACACTATAAATTGTTTTTTGAATTTTAAAAATTATTTTTATATAAAAATGAAAAAATATGTGTTTTTTTTTATTATTTTCTGTTTCGAAAAAAAAAAAACCAAATTAAAAGAAAGCAAAAAACAACCAAACAAAATCGGGAATCTTTTGGTAGATATCCTTATAGGTGTTTACAATATGCACATTTGTTACGTATTATTTTGGTATGTATTACCTATTTTTATGATAAATATTATATATTTTTTGAGAAAATAGCATTTTAGTGGAAATTCTTAAAATAATCTCAATTTGATGGAAAAGTTTATAGATTTATTTTTAACGTTGCGAAGTTTTTCACTAAATGCAATTATTTTCCCAAATTCCATTGAAATGAATATTTTCCTAATGTTTTGATATTGTTTTTGGTATATATATTACACATTTGTAATTTTTGGTATATATTCTGTTAGAAAATATTTTCGCCCAAACAAACGGTGGGTTAGTGATATTTCTTAACAAGTTATCTAC